AAAGAAAATAGCCAGGCATGGTGGCGCACCCCTATAATCCCAGCACTCAGGAGGCTGAGGCAAGAGGATCCCTGCAAGTTCGAGACCAGCCTGATCTACAAAGTGAGCTCAAGGCCAGCCTGAACTGCATAGCGGGACCTTGTTTCAAAAAAAACAAAAAGAAAAGAAAAGAAAATGAAAATAATAAATAAATAAATAAAAGTTGGAGATGTAGCTCAGTGCAAAGGCCATGGGTTCAATCCCCAGTACCAAACACACACACACACACACACACACACACACACACTACTGAGAGTAAGGATCATTAAACAGCAGAATTCAGCCAAAGGAGTTGCTGAGGCGTCAGACCTCCTTCATACCAAAGGCTTCCAAGGTACAGGAAAGGAACAAGGACATCTGAATTACCCACAGCCTCTGACCTCTAATTACCCCAGCTTATGGGTGTACGTTCACTGCAGCTCTGTTTGCCTGACTCATCTTCTAAGACTTTGTTTCTATCTCTCCTTCCTCTGCTAAATGAATAACCATCTCCCTGCCTCTCATCCATGCTCCCATCCCCTCAAGCCCTCCCTGGGGGAATGCCTCCTCCAAGGGCCGCTTGCTGGTCCTGCAGGTAGCCTGCCTGCCCCTTCCAGGCCACAACCTGCAGCACCAGCAAGCGGCCCTTGGAGGAGAGGGTCCCGGCAGGCCTCAGCTCCAGGTACCCGAACGTGGCCTGGGGGGACTCCACCCTTGGTGGTCACACAGCGAGCCTGCAGGTGCTGGTCTTAGAGCTCAGTGGTCTGTGACCCCTCAGAGACCTCACACCTTTCTGCCAGGTTTCTGGATAGTAGTCACAACAGCTTAATGAATGCGTCCTATCTTAAGGCTTCCTGATACCCTCAGAAGGTGTCCTTCTGTCTCAATGACAAAAAGAGTCCCTCACAGCCCCACCTCCAGCTGCAAGAGCAGCTGGGACAGCATCAGGTGTTAGCGATGCCGACAGGGAAAACAGGGTCTAAAGACAAGGCAGAGAGGTGCACAGCCCGGCCCTCCTCCTGCCAGCGAGCAGTCAGCTGCCACGCAGCGGTGCACGCCTCGCTCTCCGGCTGAGACACTGTCTTGGACGAGTTATATAACCTCTGCGAGGCTCATATTCCTAAAATGGAAAGTGAGACTGCTGATAACTAGACCACACAGCTGTAAAGATTAGTGTTCTGCTCCGGGTGTCTATTCCAGACACGTCTGTCTCTTCCCGGCACCTACAGAGTCAATGCACAATAAATATTCGGTGGCTATCGACATCACTTATCTGGAGCGTTATCCTCTTGAATCTTGTTGGATATTTGTAAGAGGAAAATAAAGGATCAATGTGACATGCAACGTAAAAGTAAGCGTGAAGGCTGGCATGCCACGAATTAATTTAAAATGCAATCCTGCCCCATCCTGCTTAACAGAGAGCTCTCTCAACATTCGGCATTCGAGTACCTAATGCATTTCCCCCAGACCACCTGATCACCCACTGCGACCATCCGACTGGCAACTTCTGAATAGTTTTTCCTGCAACTGGAGCAAC